TATGATTTCATAGGGATTATGGACACCTAGTGGAACTCCTCCTGTGACTGGACTACTGGTATAAAAGGCTATACCCCATACATGAGAGATCGTGCCGAAAAAAGGGGTAGGGTGTAGTTCTGTATGTGAAGGATAGCTACATGTCCCTACAAGCTACACATCCCTACAAGCTGAGATTGGCACATCAAGGACTGGAGACCCTTTGAGTTAGAATACAAGGGAGATGTAGTGAAGGGGATGCAATGGTAGGAGTCTACTACAAATCTCCAAACCAGAAACAAGTGCTTGACCAAGAATTCACCAGGAGACTGGCCAAGGCTGCATGCTCTTGGTGCATGGGTATCGTGGGAGACTTCAACTACCCGTACACCTCATGGGATGAGCACTCAGCCAAATCCAATTGGTCACAAAGCTTCCTTACATGCATGCATGAGCTCTGCCTGTCTCAAGAAGTTTATTGGCCAACAAGAGGCAAGGTGCTGCTGGACCTGGTACTGGCCAAAGGGGATGAACTAATCAGCAACCTAAGAATCTAAAGGAAGCTGGGTGAGAGTGACCACGAGTTGAACACTTTCACTATCCATCACAAAGCTGGCAGGTCATCCAGCAATGCAGTAGATCTTGACTTTAGGAAAGTGGACTTCCATAAGCTCAGGAGGTTTGTTCTTGAGGCCCTGAGAGGCCATGATTTCCCAGGGAGGGGTGTTCGTGATGAGTGATTGCTCCTTAAGGAAGCGATCCTAGAAGCACAAGGGGAGTCCATCCCAACCTGTAGGAAAGGTGGCAAAAGGGCTCAGCAACCCCCTTGGCTCAACAGGGGACTCATGGACCTCCTGCATCTAAAAAGAGAGGCCTATAATGGATGGAGGTCAGGAAACACCACTAAGAAGGAGTATGCTGCACTGGTCCGCACCTGCAGGGAGCAAACTAGAAAAGCTAGGGATGTAACTGAACTCCATCTGGCTGCACAAGTCAAGGACAAAAAAAAAGTCCTTTTTCAGATATGGGGGGAGTCAAAAGAAAAACAAGGGCAATGTTGGAGCCCAGGTAAACCAGCTGGAGCAGCTGACTACAGACACCCAGGAAAAAGTCAAGTTGCTTAATGATTACTTTGCATCAGTTTTTCACCTGCCCAAAGGAACCACCCTGCCTAACATGATGCAGGATCATTGGGATGAAGATGAACATATGCCCACCATTGGTGTGGATCTTGTGAGGGAGCATCTTGAGAGGCTGGACCACCATAAATCAGCTGGTCCGGATAGGTTGCACCCAAGAGTGCTCAAGGAACTGGCAGATGCCAGTGGCTGCGCTATGATGGGCATATTTGAAAACTCGTGGCACTTGGGCAGAGTACCTGAAGAGTGGAAGAGGGCCAATGTGGTGTCCATCTTCAAGAAAGAGAGGAAAGAAGACCCAGGAAATTACAGGCCAATCAGTTTGACCTCAATCCTTGGGAAGATTTTGGAAAAAATTATCAAAGAAACCATTCCTGACAGGCTAACAGAAGGCATCATTCTGAGGGATAGTCAACATGGGTTTGTTGTGGGTAGGTTTTGCTTCACCAATCTCATTTCCTTCTATGACCAGGTGACGTATCACCTGGACAAAGGGAAGTGGTTGATGTCATATATTTGGACTTTAAAAAAGCCTTTGACCCGGTGTCCCATGATGTCCTCATGGAAAAATTGGGCAACTGCGGCCTCGACTACTGCACAGTCTGATGGCTGGGGAACTGGCTCCAAGATCAGACCCAGAGAGTGGTAGTTGACAGAACTGAATCAACATGGCACTCAGTGACTAGTGGTGTCCCCCAAGGCTCCATTCTCAGACTTGTACTCTTTAATGTCTTCATAAATGATCTGGATACTGGTGTCAGAAGTGGACTGGCCAAGTTCGCTGATGACACCAAACTTTGGGGAAGAGTCTCCACACTTGAGTATAGGCTGGTGATCCAGGCCAACCTTGATAGGCTTGCAAGGTGGGCGGATGAAAACCTGATGGCATTCAATATGGAGAAATGCAAGGTGTTCCACCTTGGTAATAAAAACCCACGTCACATTTATAGGCATGGCAATGCTACACTTGCTAGCACCATGACTGAAAGAGATTTGGGAGTCATGACTGACCACAAAATGAATATGAGCCACCAATGTGATACCACAGTTGGCAAAGCCAACCAAACTCTGACTTGCATCTACCGATGCATCTCGAGCTAGACCCAGGATGTCATCCTCCCACTGTACTTGGCCTTGGTGAGGCCACAGCTGGAGTACTGCATCCCATTCTGGACTCCACAATTTAGGAAGGACATGGAGAAGCTTGTATCCAGGGGAGTGCCACGCACAGGATCAGAGGGCAAGAGAACAGGCCTTATGAGGAGAGACTGAGAGGCATGGGGCTCTTCAGCCTGGAGAAGTGAAGGTTCAGGGGTGACTTGGTGGCAGCCTATAAGTACATAAGGGGTGTGCATCAGGATCTGGGAGAACATCTGTTCATCAGAGCACCCCAGGGCGTGATGAGGTCCAACAGTTACAAATTCCTGCAAGACCATTTTAGGCTGGACATAAGGAAAAACTTCTTTACTGTTTGAGCCCCCAAGGCCTGGAACAAACTCCCCACAGAGGTGGTGCAAGCACCTACTCTGGACACTTTCAAGAAATATTTGGACATTTATCTTGCTGGGATCCTTTGAGCCTAGCTGATTTCCTGCCCCTTGGGCAGGGGCCTGGACCTGATGATCTTGTGAGGTCTCTTCCAGCCATAATGTGTATGAAATCTATGAAATTTTACTGCCCTGTTCATTACACAAGAACATTCAGTGTGCAGCAATAAAATATAGGGTGACTTCTGTACTGGGGGAATGGGTTTGATAGATATTAGTATCACTGTTGTTTTTCAATTCCTGAAATGAAACCGTAATAATTTTGATAAATGGCCCTTAGATACAGATTTGAAATCATCAGCAATGTTGTTATACTTGCAATATATTTGAATCTAGATCTCTAGAGAAGAAAATTTAGTCTTTTAGGCCACTGGTTGAGTTCAAATTCACACTCAAATAAAGGAGTATCAATTAAGGTATTGTATTATGATGGAGAGAGATGGTCTGATGAGCTACACACAATAAATATATAAACCATTTACTCAAAGACTTTTTGCAGATCAAAATTTTTGCCATAAAACAACTGTACAGGCTGTACAGGAGGGACAGGATAGGAAAGAGGGGG